TGGAGTCCTGCTCTCCCCATGCAGAGGGATTCCATGTCCCATGTAGACATGGAAGAGAGCCAGGAGGGAAGCAGAAGGAAGGAGCAGCCTGGAGCAGCCTTCTCTGCCTCCCTTCTCAGTGCTCTCTGGGTGCCCAGTTTCCTAGTCTCTGTTCCTTTGCAAGAAGCAGGGAGACTCCAAGGTGCTCCCATTAGCATGTTTTACTCTGCTCCTTGTACAGGACCTACAAATCTGAATGTCCTAAAGGGCCCCTGGGTTGCTTTGCCATGGCCTGTGAAACAGCTGAATGCAGGCTAATCAGGAGCATCCACACCTTGCCCGCTGTGTAAAGGGGAGGATTATACTCTTGGCATTTCCATTTGCTGTATTTTAGGTTAGGGTCAACTCTAATGAACTCAGTGTAGTGAACTGGTACCAGAAATAAGAGCAAATACAAAGTATAATTTTCACTCTTTGTTGTCCCTACTATAATCTTCTAACATTCTCATTACAGTATTAACTTATTAAGGTTGTTGATGTGCACAGCAGACACAAGTACACACTTGTGCCCATTCATTTAAGTAGAGATATAAGCTCTAAAACAGAAACAAGCTGAATAAATGGATACAAACCAGATGTTAAAATGTCAGCAGTCAGAAGCCAGAAAGGTCTAAGATGACATACTTCAAGGAAAAGGGTTCAAAATGAGCCTTCAGCATGAAGTTGCTCAGTTGGAATTTATTTGAAGATTTAATGCATACTCTTTATTTTGCTTTGTCGATTCATCATTACCTGGGAACTGGGCACACCCACTCTTGGATGTTTCACTTGTTTGTATCTGTGTTCTACACAGTAATGCAGTCACACTTCTGACTTGGCGATGTACCAGTATCTGATGTTTAAACAACAGCACTTAACACCTCTGTCACATATTCAACAAAGGGTTGCCTAAGGCCATTTACTGCTTCACAGCACTCACTCCCATCTCTCACTCCTAGCCATTATGACACACTGGCAAATATTATAACCTAACCCATTAAGTTCCTTATTTCTAAGGGTAAAGCAAATTTTATTTACCCATAAGTTTATCACCCATAACATTTAAGCAAGTGTCTTTTTTAAGAAGAATGATTGGGGAGGGGGAAATAATGTTGAATATACTTACCAGCACCACAGCATATATCATTTAGGAGAATGTGCACATCAGGACCCAAGAAACTTGATTCCATTATGTATTTCCTAAAGCTTATAAATGCTTGATGAAACAGACGAGCTATAAAGGGGAGGGGAAAATACAGACAAGCAAGTTCAGTATTAAACACAAAACTCCACTTCCTACAAACTGGACCAGAGATCTAATGACAAAACAAGATTTTTAGCTTGAAAACTAAAGAGTGCTTTGTTTTCAGTAGGATTATACCCATGCATGTGGTCACTGAAACACTCAATACATTCCCACACTATTTTAGAATGTCTCCAACTTTCAGAAGCTGTTCAATGGGACAACGGAAAGGGGTGATCAGCTAAAATCTGCCTATTCTACTTCCATGAACTCCTGGATGAACTAAAGTTTTTAATTGTAACTGTTTCTAAAATGTTTTAACTGTAACTGTATTTATAAACCTGTTTTGGAGTGCTTTACAAAAAGTGAATGTGTTTGCTGCCCGGGCTCTTTTGGGAGGATATAAATTAAAAAATAATAATAATAACAACACACTTTTTTATTAAGCACTGACTTAAGCAGTCAGTTTTAGAAGTAGAATTAGAAAAACTTAAGAGTCAAAAAAAGATTAAGTCCAGATATGAGCTTCTCATAAAGCATGTAGAAACATCCAATATTCTATTATCCCTAGAACCACATATTGCATACCATCTAGTCCATTTTCTGCCCCCAGTCTTTGTACTTCTTTTCTCTTGTAAAATTTATTTAATACTTTCAGGACTTCACCTAGAAGACAAAATACAGATACTGTCAAGCTAACTGGAATGGCAAATTACTTGTGCAAAAAAAAAAAAACTTTATACCCTTCAAGCATTTAATCAAGAAAGGGTTATACACCGGGGGGAAAGTAGTCACAAAAAACATATTGTAAAATCCACCTTCTATAAATCTGCTATGGAGACTAACAATCTTAACAACAGTTACCTTTATGGTAACTTTACAATTGCCATCTGATCAGGGATGGTCAATTTCTGTTCTCCAAACTGTGATAGGTGACTGAGGGGAGGGCCTGATGCCTCATGGATGGTCAGGTTGTACAATAAATTCTGCATGATCTAAAGTGCATCACAGATTATAAGAGGTCGTTTGCAGACATAGGGGTGGAATAAACGTATGTCTTGAACGATCCCCTCAAGAGATCTGTGGCCCATTCATTTCCCAGAAACTAGCGGAGGCCATAATATGGCAAAATGCACATGGGGTCTCCAATATTGCTTCTTTTCTACACAGTACACTCGCAACATACACCCATTTAACTTGTGCACACTCAGCTTTACATGCTTGGCATTTTTAATGATGGGTGTCAGGGGGAGGGAACCTTTGGCAATCCCCCACCAACACCACAAGTGCATCCCAATTTGTTTGGACTACTGTACAGTGGTACCTCAGGTTAAGTACATAACTCGTTCCTGAGGTCCGTTCTTAACCTGAAACTGTTCTTAACCTGAAGCATCACTTTAGCTAATGGGGCCTCCTGCTGCCGCCGCGCCACCGGAGCATGATTTCTGTTCCCATCCTGAAGCAAAGTTCTTAACCTGAGGTACTATTTCTGGGTTAGCAGAGTCTGTAACCTGAAGCGTATGTAACCCGAGGTACCACTGTATCTGCAATTTTGGCTTTAGGCACTATCCTCGGAACGTAACTCTCACGGGCTTACTATGCAAGTTGAGGCTTCCCCCTCACGCACTACCTCAATGCATATTTGGAAGGGCTACTAAAGGACAGGTAAAATTGCCCTTGTGGGACAGGTGCGACTCGCAAGTTGCCCGCTGCCCACCCCTGTTTGGATGACAGAAAAATCAAAGAAACGGGCAAGGAAAGAGCACTCCCGTTGCCCCTAACCGACCGCGCACGGTTGGCTTTCTAAACCCACAGGGCCCGCCTGTCCTTCCGCCCCACCCCCGGCGCCGCCGCTTACTCTTGTTGAGCGGGCGCGTGAGCTCGGCTCCAACGTCCCCCTCCGGGCCAGGCGACGAAGGGGACACGGGCAGAGGCACGAACAAGGAAGTGTCCGGGGCTTTGGCGCCCGCGCCCTTGCCGCCCCCGTCGGAGAAGAAACCCGCTGCTGGGGCTGCCCGGCTGGGCCCACCGCGCCGGCTCCGGAGAGCAAAGAGGCCGCCATAGCGGAGCGGGGCAGCCGGCAGCCGAGAGAGCAGCCTCGCGCACCAGCTCACGGACATCGGAGCAAGAGGGAGCCTTGAGCTCGCCGGCGCGCGCCTGTTTCGTCAACGCGACAGCGGCCCAGGTCCTCAGGGAAGTCCGGCGTCGTGCCTGAAAAATAGAGCGGAGGAAAGCTGCCTAAAGACGGCGTTGGTTGGCTAGGTGCATTTAGGAGGGGTATTATTAGAAGGCGGAAAGACTCGGAGTGCCGTCCGCACCGCCACATTCCTCGCAAAGCCATGGGCCCCTAAGAGAAGCCTCGCAGGCAGTACGAAGGGCAGCCAAGCGAGACCCTGGCGGCCACGTGCGTTGAGGCGGAGGTGTGTCTGTGAGGCGCATTGGCTTGGGTTGCTAGGATAGTGGGCGAATTGACGTTACGCGAGAATGCAAGTGCAGTAAGCACGTGATGGGATGGTGGTGATAACGCTCCGCCAATGCGGGTAGCGCTTTATCCTCGAACCTCGCCACGCCAAGCTCAAAATTTTATCAGCTGCTCTGTATAATGCCTGTTCTGCTCTCTAGTCTCTACCCCATTCTCATTGTTAAGCGAAGGTCTGGAAGAACTTCTAATTCTTGAGGTGGAGCTTAAGGGCAGGCGCTGCCTTTTGAGCCTTCTCCGTTGAATAAACGTGCCCGCAGCCTTGGGAAACCCCAGATCACCAGCATTTATAATCAAAGGTGTCTGCATAAATAGATGTCGGTCATAAAGAAATCTGCAAATGAATAAAGCTGCAGTAATTAGGTTATTATTGTCTATTTGCACTGTCACCCAATCCTCAGAGTAGATGCATTTGAGGTGTTTTTAAAGTATATATTCAGAAAAGGCCAGAACGTTTTCATTTATTTCTTAAATTAGTATGCCATATTCTAATTTTAAGGAGTGGGTGGGACCAAGTACTACCTTAAACTAGCCTTAAGATAACAACAAAATGAAGGAGACTGGGCTTTGCACTTCAAAACACTTTATAAATCCATATACAAAAGAAAAGCCCTTATCAATTTCAGGAAGCTGAAACAAACAAAAAAATGGTGTTAGAGAGCAGGACTTCAAACATATTCTTAAGTATAGTCAAATTAGATTAAAAACCACATAATAAAAAAATTCTGCCACTTATTTTTAATGCATCAACCACATCCTAAGGCAGCATATTCCTTTAGAGTTGCAAATGATAATGGCTTGGTTTTAGATATGAAAATTGTCTATATCTAATTAGTCACCATGGCACTAAATACTGATCTCCAAAAATACACGTCTAACTGAAAGGATTGGTCCTATGCTGAAATTAATAGGCATGACTAACTGAGGTCCCTTAATTTCAGTACTTCTACCCAGAGTACCACTTAGCTGCCTACAACGCTCTGATCTGTTCAATTCAGTTCAACCAAATTTGTTGTGCCAGTGTAAGAAATATATCTAAATGAACAGGTTCAAAGGGAAAGTATGCCACCCACTGAGAATCCCAGTTTTGTTTTGGTAGTCCGTGATCACTAAAACTTGTGATGAACTAGAATTTCTTCCACCCCAACAATGCATTAAATGCTATTTAAGAACATCCCAATTCTAACTTTAAGATATTCAATAATTCTATAAGTGAAACTCACTACAGTACAATGTAAAATTGAAGACACAATCTAGATATTTTAGTGAGAATACAGCTATTTTTAATAATTCAAAGAGCAGTTTATTATGTCTATTATACATAGTTGCACAATTTGAGGCTGGTTAAATACAATCAGTTTTCAAAAATTTATTGGAATAGTTTCCAGATTACAACATGCAAGTGTCCATGAAAATATTTGGCATTTTTTGTTTGAAATTCTGAATAGGCACTTACATGAGGGAGTTAAGTTCTCTCAGTCATAGGCATCCATGCTAAAGAGAAATATCCCAGCACGCAGCATCTTTGACTGCTTTATCAAAGTGCCATGGTAGTAAAACAGTTCTTACAGAAGTATAATTTGAGAATTTCACTTACTCATAAAGTAAGGTAACCAATAACACTTGCAGTGAAGTTTAGAAACATTCTTGGTAGATAGGCCAAGTGAACTACAAATTATGAGTAGCCATCTAATTCAGCAGGTTCCATATTGTGACCATAGTTAAACTCCGTTTCTGAAAACTACATGCTTAATTGTGGATAGATGGAGGCTAACAAGGGTTGTCCAAAGACTAAGTTCACTAAAGTTAAAAATGACTGGGTGTTTTGCTAGACAGAATTCCAAAGCCTACTTAGAATTCAATTTGGTTTACATACACAGACCTTCCTACAAGCCAATGTTTGAGGTGGTAAGATGAAGTGTGCATTTTAATGCAAAGTGATCTGAATTTTGTGCCTATGACCCGAATTCCAAAAGTGTAATCAATAAAAGCTACATTTTCACACACCTTTGCCACTGAAACACGGCTCAATGGGATAATTCTGTATTTTCGCTTAGGGCATTTAAGCCTTCAAGGGCTTTGCAATTTGATAACAGAATCATTAAGATGGAGGTGCCAAGAAAAGAATTAGAAGAGTCATCACCCCTCTTATAAAGCTAGTATGAGAAAGAAGCTTGCTTTATTATATACATTCCTCAGAAAGAGACAAAGTCTGAAAACTCTGGCATGAGAACTATTCCAAGTGTATGGACAAAATCCCATTATAAACCCTGAATTTGTCATTTTAGAACAATATATTTATTAGTTTCGAAGGATACAGGCAGTAGACGACGAGGAAGGATGTATGATATGACTGTGGTATAGGAAGAGGAAATGCTTTAGTCTACCATCGATGATAAGCAAAACTTAAATGCACCAGCCTACATGCATGGAAAAACGTAACTTTTTTAAGCTTTATGCATATATCTGAGTGCATCACACCAGACAAAAAGTAAAATGTGCAGTATAAAATAGCTTAAGAAAGTTCCAGTGTTTGAGAAAGCGCTTATTTTAAATGTATGTACACACTTGAATGTTTACTTAAAGAATGTTTTAGTAGTGTGGGAAATGCAGCACTGTAAGATGAGGAAGACTGTTGAAATGGGTGTTGTGGCCTTCTTCCCTACAGGCTGTTGCCACCTTTAACCTGCTGATCTATCAACAGTTCTTTCACTCCCAACACCCAGTTCACATTTCAGGCTGCTCTGCCGATGCCTGTGGTTCTGGACTTTCAAACCGCTGGTGGAAGTTGGTTCGTTGTTTCCTCAGTTTCTCAGGAGCTTTTCTCCAAAGAATGATCTCCTGTTTAAGGTGGAAGAAAATGTACAGTTTAGAGGCTTCATATTTTAAACATATTGATGTCGCAGATAGAAGCATTTCTCCTAGAACACTCACGTGCGCCCCCCTTAGCATTTCCATATAAACTTCTGAAAAAACCTAGATACTGAAAGCCACAATCCTTTTCAGAAAGTTGTGCTGAAGCATGGAGTGGTGCCCATGTTGTGCAGCTCTCTTCATGAGGTCTCCTTTGCTCCCACTCTAGACAGTTTCGCAGCACATAAAAACATTGTTTCATAAAGCCTTCCCTTAAGCAGGTAATGGGAGATAAGATTTTTATTAGCATTGTTCTGCTTTTATTACTGATGTTTTAATGGACTGCATTTTTCTGCTTAAGTATCCCAATTATTGCTTTATTGGGTGCTGGCTTTAGTACTTTGAAAGTTGCCCTGAATATTTTCTAACAGAAAAGGCAACACAAATAAATAATAATCCACCTCATTACAATACTTCAGTGCACAATGTCATACCTGTTGCTTGAAGTACCTTCTGTCCTCTTCATCAACTAATACTAGGTTCAAGAAGTATCTTACTGAAAACTTTTTATTCACATCCCTCATTGTAGGAGTAGGATCATAGCCCGCCAAGAAGAGTCTTATAGGAATAGATTCACCTTAGATAAAAAGAAGTTGTGATTAGTTTTGCTTCTTTCCTCAACATTTAAAGGATTAGAATAGTTCCTGACAGTGAATAATCTGGAGTCACAGGGAATGGCATGACATCAATTTAAAAAGAAGGGGGCTGGGAATTTCTTCTTAAGCAAGTCACACCAAATCTCAACATGCCTTTTAATCTGGGCGGGAGTAGCCTCTAAAAAGGAAAACAGCTATATATTTAAATGTGAGCATGGCTCTGCATCCATTTCTGCCATCCAATCAAGCTGGGGAGCACAATTCAGAACAGACAAAGAGCAAAGCTGAAATATGAATTTGTTATCACAACATGCAGGGTAATTAATAGATGGCTTTAAAGGGACAAGCCAATTGCTATTGAATATCAATTGCTGGTTAACAGCAGCAGAAAATAAGCATCTGGTTGACTACTGTGGGAGAGAGGATGCTACACTAAACTAGTCCAATCCAATAGAGCTCTTCTTATGTTCAGGGGTAGCACATTTGTCCATGTTTTCCCTACTCTTTTTCTTGACTCTTAAGAACACAAGAAAAAGTAATGATAGACCTGGCACAAACCAGAAATCAGTTTTCTAATTTATGAAAGCAACTAATACTATCCAATTGGTATTAAGGAGTGAAGGCCCCAGATTAGGAGCCCCTTATTCATTTAAGGCACTTAAATGATGCATAAGGCAAAACTGGTATTTAGTGCTTTAGATTTTCTTTTTGTACCAGTCTAGGCTTCAAGATAATTTTTATGTACTCCATAATAGGATTAACACTCAATTTAGAGAAACAACCTATATTTTAACATAAAAATGCTTTGACAATGTTAACAAACACCAACTCACCTTTAACTGGTGCACCATCCATTATTTCATACTTTGCAATAGTCTCTGTCTCTGTCGTGGTACTAGGTCCTGGTTAAACAATTATATTTTTTAAAAAGTCCTTTAATTCAATTTTGCATATTTAGTTGAATACATTTATTTATTTCTATGGACTAAAGCCCCTTAGCAGTTATACCTTATCAGATCATGAATAGGTATTGAATTACACGGGTAATCAGAAAATATCACTACTTCTCAGCTCTTCAAGACACAGCTCCTCTTAGTAATATCCAATATTTGTACTTCCCCAGCTCAGTCCAATACAACAGAACCTCAGAGGAATTATGAGCCCTGATTACAGCTGTTAATCAGGACCAACAACATGGTTAGTTAGTCAAAGTAAACAACTGTCACCCAAGTCTTAAATCTGAACAGGTTACCCCAGTTTAATGTGAATCATATGTGCCACTTGGAGCCTACCCACCATGCCAATTCTGAAATATTACTACATTTAGAAGTGCAAAGCAATTGTACAAGAAGGTCTTTCAAGTTGAAAAGTAGCTGAACAGAATGCCTGATTGCCATGTATATTGCTAAATACAGTTGAAGGCAGAGGTTTCAGGAACCTATTCACTGTGAAGCATAAGCTAGTTACCTGCAAACCAGTATTGGTCACTATGTACAGCTAAAAGAAGCTAACTAGCTACACATACATATGCAAAATAGAACAGCCTATTATAAATTGGAAATATCAGAAAAGATAGTTCTAGAACACATCAAATTAAAAGTAAAAATATTAATGACAGTTTCAAAATTCATCTTACCAATTCCAGTAATCTCTTTTTTGATCAGCTGTAATTCCATATGCTGAATTTTTATTCTTACTAAGAGAAAGTAAATTTTTCCAACAATCACATCCTTTAGATGATACCTTACAGAAACAAAGGAAGGGGGCTTGTAAACTGCAGAATTTAACATTTTTAAACTAGTTTACAGCATTTTATAATGCTTTTGTGTATTCATATTGCTGAAAAAGGATAAGAAAACAGAACTATCTATATTGAACAGGATTACTCATTTTACCAAAGAGCAGACCCACACGCAAGTTTGTAGCTGCTACTCAGTTTTATTCCTTTATCAGGCAGCATGTTTTCAGAAGCCACTTTAAAGCCCAATGAACAGAAAGTGCTAGTAGTAGTAGAGACTGTTACAAGTTATCACAATATGCACTGAAGGTAAATTGAGATTTCAAAATGTTGATGCCATAACAAATCAGATTGCAATAATGATCTGTTGCTTAGGCAGTTAGTGCTAAAGAGCCCCATGCTAACAGAAGACATAGGTCTGGTCTAAGCATTTTAAAAAATTGTATCCTACTTTTGCATCATGTAGAATTGGATCCAGACTAAGCTATTTGCACTTAGGTCCACTGCAATCAATGTGAAAAGTCAGTAATGTCTAACTGTTATATAAGTACAACTAACTTAGTTTGAATCCCACTCATAGTAACAGAACACTCAACTGGCATACAATGAGCACATTTTTTAAAAAACAGCAAAATTAAAAGAAACACAGAAAAACAGCCACCAGCAAAACAGTTTTAAAGGAGGCAAGACTAAGAAATCATCATAAGCCACCAAAGCAGAATAGTTTTCACCTGCTTTCTAAATGTCATCAAGGAGGCACCAGTTGGACTCCCAGAGAAAGGAGTTCCAAAGTTTGGGTAAAGTTCTCAAAAAGGACCTTTTATGTATACCCAGCAACTCAATCTTAAACACTGATGGGACATAGAGCAGCGTCTCCTCCAACTACTTGAGCTCACAAACAGACTGGGTGTCAGTGGAGCCAATATAGTACAGTAATCAAAATCACAGTACAGTACCAGTAGCTGGTATAGTAATCATAATTCTAGCTGCAGCATTTTGTATCAGATGAAGTTTTCATGTGGGCAGTTGGTTCAAGAACAGAGTAATATAATACTCTTGAACTGTAACAACTTTGGAAGGTCAGCTTCACCCACCTATACCTATACATGGTCCATTAGCAATCAGTTAATTACTGCTATGTGTTCCACACTTTTAACCTGAAGGAGTTTCCCTGGTTACCCATTTCAAGGTCACACATTCCCTTATTCATAATACATACTTGGATTTGTTGTATTCAAATTCTATATGCAGACAATCTTCAATGCCGACTTCCATTTTAATAGAGTTGTTAACATCTGGGTATGTCGCAAGCTGGTGAACGATAAGGTCATACTCTTTTACCAAGTCTGACAATCTTCTTACTATTGTAACTTTAAGGAAATACCTACAAAACAGGAAATTAGCACAGATTGTATACACAGAATATTTTACATACATGAAGTGGCCAACTTTATCAAATTAGCTAACATCAGAAATAAGACTATATTGAGATTCATAAACTGCATTAGCAGTTAAATCTGAATTAAACCAATCTGCTCACAATTCTAATTCCTTTTGTTGCAAGGCCAAAATGAGAATTTAATAAGAGTGTTCCCTAAAGCAAGAGAGAAGGTGATTCCAACTTTTATTAGCACAATGGGTTGGAACCAGACATGCCTGCAGCAGAACTCTAAAGCTTCAGCAGGTAGAAGAGAAAAGGCAATTCATTCCCACTCCCCTGCAGCTCTCCATGAAGATTGGCTTGAGAGGATTGAAGGTCCTTCTGGTACAGCATGGGAGATGTGGTGGGATGCTACAGAGGAAATCTATTCCTTCAATCTAGCATGAGTCTCTGCTGAACCAAAATCCCTTCTGCAAACTGAAAGGATTCAATCCAGTATTTCTTTACAGCTCTATAAACAGGATGGAATGTATTTTGAGGACCCACTTACATTTAAATTTAAGGTTTACATATTATTTTTAAGGCAGGCACATCCAAATTCACGCCTTTCATGTTTCAGATTGCTTGCTAAAGCTTTTTTTACCGTTTCCATATAGTTTCCTGTTATCATTATTATAATCATATTTATTATATGGCTAATTACTTTTTCTATGTAGAAATTTTTATTTCTTTCATTTTATTGCAACTTGTTTTCATTTTTGTATTTCTTAAAATTAACAATGCTGTAATCAAGTTTTTTTAATAATGACTAAAGAACAGAAATTCAGAGTCTTCCATCACTGCATGCCTTTTGGCTCAAATACCTTCCAATTATCTCTCAAAAGCTGCATATTAATCTATGTAACTAAGGGCAACATCCAACATAACATTAGTGGAAAAAGTTTGAGAATTAACATTGTTCTGCAAGCAGTAGTGCAAAAGCTTAGTTGTCACTGAGAAGTTCTGCAACTTGTTTCACAAGCACAATTCTCTCACTGGATTCAGCTGCTGTGCTACACTCAAAACAAGGCTCTGGCTAGCAAAACAGCTGTTGTAAAAGTGGCCTGCCACAATCAGATATTACTCTAAACAACTTAAAATGATTTGAGCAAAATGATTTTGTTAGAAGAAATTATTCTAAGAAAGTGATACAAGTTTCTTAGTATAGAGTGACATTTGATAGACAAGACTGCTCAGGTTGCATAAAATCTCAGCTTTGGAGACTTCTCAGATGAATAGCCTACCAGCCTGCAGGGGCATATAGGGAGTTTGATTAATAAGATATTTTATCTAGATTCTGAAGGCCGGAAAAGAAAAAAATTCCATCAAAGCCATCAGATCAGAGAGAAAAAGGATCCATATGGGTTAGATTCAAAAGTACGCTTCCATTAATGGAAACAGTTCTTTCAGCAATGTAACAGCTTTCAATTCAGCAAAGGTTCCTACACATGGAAACGAAGGGAGGTGACTTTCTCAGATACCATTTTCCCCTTATAACCCTCATACCACCTTCCTTCAAGGGGTGAGAGAGGCTGCAGGGGGGATTTGGCAAAAGAACCCCTTCCCTCTTTGTGGATGTCTCTGCTAGATCAAAATTCCTTCCACAAACAGATGGGCCCTTTTGATGCAACCAATTTATAATATATTTTTACACATACCTATATAATGCTATAAGTTAGAAACTATTATAACCATAACTGCAGAAATAGTACTTTTCAGTTTCCATACCTCAATCTGACATTGGCACCGATGTAGGATTCATATGGCTTCTCAACTTGCATAAACTCAAAGTCATAACTTCTACTTTGTGTTAATTCACCAGGTAAGGCCAGTTCTTTCACTAGGTTTACAAATTCATGAGTATTGCTCTTGTCACTGAAAAGCTCTAAGAAAGTAATGAATAGAATCAGAGAGGAAATGTAACAGAAGCTTTCCTTAAGGAGTATACAATGGCTTGACACTTGGGACTGCTGCAAGTGTCAAAGAAGAAAAGAAGAAAATAAATAGAAATATATTAAAATATTGGCGTTATTTCTATCTCCATTTAATCATGTGAATTCAAAAAAATTTTTTATTTTACAGTGTGGTCGAATTCAGAACTCCTTCAGTATGTCAGTTGTATTGCACAGATCCTCCATACAAGTACAAAATACAACTGTTTTGTTAATTATACTGCAGAACAGCCCACCATTGTTTAATATCAACAGTCAGTTTGACAAACAAGCAAATGACTTGTTGGAGTAAATTCAATAACTTAAAAGGTAGGCTAGTAGAATGTTTTCCAAAATGTGTCATTTTATTTTATATTCTCATATTATAAGCAGAGAGAGAGAATTTACTGAACAAATTTTACTGAACAATTTTACTGAGAATTTACTGAACAAATTTTGGTTTATGAAACAGAATATACAAACTTTAAGAAAAAGCTCTTCAAGAAAAAACAAAAGCAGAACATACAAAGATGTGGCCTCAATAAATTATGTCATCTTTACTTGTTGCATCTTAATCTTCAAGATCCACATATGATCTAGCTAGAATATAGTTACTATTTTTAAGATGCATGCTGTTTGTGTAACTGTTGCTTGGCAATATATCACAGATACAATTTATTTGAATCACAGACAGCAAACATTATTTACTTCAAAACAAACATCTTCTGGATACTTGTTATACAACCAGTGTTGGAAACTCAGATATATAAGCTAGGCACCAAATGGCTCCTTAACCAATGTTATAGTCGCCAAAACAGAATGGTTGCCATTTTGGGGCAAGATGGCTCTTAAGTCTTATTCTTCCAAATGATGGACTGACTGTGAATGATTCTCAGTTAAACATCTGCCTAGTTCAGATGACAACCTTGAGCTAGGTTAAGAGCTTGGAGAACTTAAAGAAGAAATGTCACTTGACCCAGGGACAGTCCACACATATATACTGACCTATTCTGAGCTTTTTTTCTTAATGGTGACATGGACCATTCATAAAGCAACCATATTCTTCACAACTGTGAGCAGGGCAGTGGGATGGGGTAAGTGAAGACAAGCAACAATTCACTATAATGTTGTTCACCACTCCTGCTCAGACTGCATAGAAATAAAATTTTGGCTCCTGGTTGTGCAGATAAAAATTAACTGATAGAATTCTACAGGATGTGGTAATAGTGTGTGAAAACAGTTCAGATACAATGATCCCCAGAATGTGCCTCCAGATGGTGGAGATGTCAGGTGACATCCTGGTGCCCAGGTCAAAAGCCTGGTGCAAAATGAGCCTGGCTAATTTTGAACACTGTATTCAACTACCAAGAGACCAGTCCAGATTACGATTCCTATATCAGGGTTATGAGCACTCAAAGTTATCCATACCAAATGGTAATTCTAAGAGACTCACCAATTTGTCCTACAAATTCAATTCTAATTCCTTGATGCTCTAGCCTCTTTCCAAGTTGTTTAAAGACTATGTTTACCTGAAAAAGTCAAAACAGCAATGAAAAGGTGTAAGTGTAATGATCCATTTGTACAAAAACTTATTTTAGATCATTTAAACCATATATATATCCCACCTTTCCACTGCATTTGCAAAACTAAGTGCAATGTAGAACAATAAAAAATAATCAGTAACAAAATAAAACAACGGTTAAAAACAGATAGGTGCAGTTGATAAAAACAGTATTTTTCAAAAGGAAGTGTAGTTCTGGTTCTTTGCCCCTTTTCCAGCCCTGTGTTACAATGCTGGACTACATGGCATTTTCATTCCTTCTTTCAACTCTTATTTACTGAATTTTCAAAGCAAAAGTGGTTAAAACTTGCTAGATGCACCAGCACTCCCTGCGCCCTGCCAGTTCCTCCTTATGCAATTATTTACAACACTAAAAAAAAATGGGACTGTGGGAAGAGAAACTGGTGAAGCAGCTGTTTAGCAATGGGTGAAAGTAGTTCATTAAATGACAGAAGCAGGAAAAGACAAGTTTTAAAGCAAAGAATGGAGATAAATATGGCACCATTCCAACATTCTAAAGGGGCAATGAATAGCGGAAGGTTAGAAGAATAGAGGCGCTGGATCTGGCCATGTGCAATGTGCCCAGACACTGCCCGTTTCCATTTTATAAGTAAGAGAATTCCAATAGAATATTCTATGTAGAAGATGGGGCAGGTTCAGGCTTTACAAATACTTCTTCTGCACATCAGAACCCCTACTGTGGGTCTGGATTGCACCAGAACTCCTTTCTAATCATTTGCCAGAATTGAAGGCATTGTGTTAAAGGCAAATTCAAAACCATCACAACAGGGGTAGTATTTTTGGACTCAATATATTCTTATAAAGGGTTTAAGAAAAATTGTAGAAGATAAAACTATCCTTGGCAACTTTAAAGGTAAAGGGACCCCTGACAGTTAGGTCCCGTTGTGCACGACTCTGGGCTTGCAGTGCTCATCTCGCTTTACTGGCCAAGGGAGCCGGCGTTTGTCCACAGATAGCTTCCAGGTCATGTGGCCAGCATGACTAAGCCACTTCTGGCGAATCAGAGCAGCGCACGGAAACACCATTTACCTTCCTGCCAGAGCAGTACCTATTTATCTACTTGCACTTGACGTGCTTTTGAACTGCTAGGTTGGCAGGAGCAGGGACCGAGCAATGGGAGCTCACCCTGTCGCGGGGATTCAAACTGCTGACCTTCTGATTGGCAGGCCCTAGGCTCTGTGGTTTAGACCACAACACCACCTGTGTCCCATCCTTGGCAACTTTACATGATGGTTATATATGACCTCTAGCATAAGACACTTTGGGTTGTATCCAGTGTTAGACTAGACAAGACCAACTTATGTCCATTAATTTCAGTGAGTCTACTCTGAATAAAACAGTTCAATACAACCGTGCCACAGAATGCTGGACTAGACAGGCCTTTGGCCTAATCCTAGAAGGCTCTTCTTAGAACATTAGGCAGAGATAACAGGAGTTGTAGTCCAGCAACATCTGGAGAACTATAAGTTCCCCTGTATAACATTTGTGAAAACAGAACACCTTAAATATGACCCAAGTGCAGCAACATTTGCTTGTATTATTACTTGAACCATTAGAATATATTATTTTCTTCCATTCTTTCAATATCAAATTGAGAAGCAAAAAAGCAGTGTTGAAACCAAGCTCCACATAAGACAAGCTTGTGAACTAGAAGATGTTTCCTGCTTGGCAGGGGGTTGGACTCGATGGCCCTTGTGGTCTTTTCCAACTCTATGATTCTATGATTCTATGTAGATATAGAGTGGGATATAGAGTGGTTTTAAGCATGGGGGGGGGAATCTGTATGAAGAGAAACCACTTATAAAAATAAGAATGTCAACAACTTAAATATTTGGATAGTTAATCTAACATATTTTAAATTTGCATAAAACCCACAAATTATCAGTTAACACCATAGATCATTAATGTGACATTATCAAATATTTGTGCAATAAAAATTAATGAGGATGACTGTATTATCTCCTGTGCCAACACTGAAAGAGGTTCCTCTGCAACAAAATAAATGTGTTGGTCCTTCCTTGACATATACATATTGACTTGATAACATCAACAATAACAATTTGTTTACTACCAAACCTCAATATGACATATACACTAGAACCTAGATTCTATTATGAGATTATCTGGAACAGCTATATCATTAATAACCGTTTCTGTCCTATATCTTACATAAAGTACAAACAACTTCTTTTTTTTAATAAAAAATTACCTTTCCTGAAACCGATTCTCCATCATAGAAAAGATAATGTTTTTCTATTTTACCATCTTCTGTTTTTATTTCAGCTGTTTTTCGTGATTCTGCGTCATTAAGAACAACATCAATCTCACAAATGGGACCAAACAAGCCTCCCAGAAAACTCTGCAATAAAAAGCAAATTCACTTAGTCTTAGATAAAATAAACAGCAACTTTATCAAGTTCAATATAGCAGCCACAAAGTGTAGCTAAATAATGAAGAAAAAGTTCTATTGCTCTTGTTTTAATTGCTCTTTTAAACATATATAAAAAAATTAATTCTACCAAAAATTTCAGCTGTAGAAACTGAACTGGTGTGAGATAGCAACAGAACACGGTTATGAATTGTTGCATTTGTGGAAAAGCAAGCATCATGCTAGAACAGAAATACAGGTTCACCATGTCTTATGTGACAGTGTAGCCCCACCACCACACATGCTACCCCATAACAATTATAAATCAAAATATTTTAAGGGTGAAGTGACAGATAACTAATTTAAGCAACTTAAAACAATTCTTACATATATGTTTCTGCATTGATGGAAGGGGAAAATGCTACAAAATACATTAAAACTACATTACAGAAATCTAATCAGCAACTAGCTTTGTCTGAGGGCCACTTGAACAAAATGGGGAAATGACAGGCTAAGGCCCCATGCCCTAAACCCCCAAATAGTTTGCAGCCTAGTCCCATTGCTGCAGATGCTGCTCATCTATCTTTTGTGCCTCATCTAAGAAAAGCACCACTACTCAGGGAAAGATTAGACCAAGCACGTCCAACTTCCATCAACCAGGAACCCATGATCGACCATGATCGCCCACCCCGCGAGCGACCGGTTGGACATGCCTGGATTAGACTATTAGAAATAGTGGTTTCGGGTATCCAAAGAACATTTAAAAAGTGCTTGATGCATTTCAGTTGCTAATGGATTGTCCGGAGACTATGGGTGGCGTTCAACCAAGTTTTACTCAGAGCAGACCCACTGAAATTAATGGATCACATATTTCTTAACTTCAATGGGCCTACTCCGAGTAGACGTTGGCTACTCTCTGTCTACCAGGTGCAGGAAACCTTTAGCCTGTCAGACGTTGTTGAACTACAACTTCCAGCATCCCTAGTCATCAACATGCTTGTTGAATCTGATGGAAACTTAAGTACAGCAAGGGCAAAAGGTTCCCAGTCCCCACACCTGGGCTATACTTGAAGTACTTAAAAGGCCTGATTCAGCTGAAAGCCCTCTGTCCCATTCCTTAACTGATCCCTTTTGTCCTATTTCCTTCTTTCAGGAATCAGCAGGACTCTTTAATTTGGCCCCAAAGCAAACAGGGAAGGAGAGTGGGCCAGGAGACTTGTGGAGGAACAGAAGCAAAACAGACCACCTGTATCCTGTCTCAGTGCCTCAAAGCATTGTAAAAAAAAGAAAACCTAGATGGCATTCAATTCTTGCTAATAAGCAAACACCAAGCTATCCAAACAATATGCACAATGGAAGTCCAGACTTCAAAGGAGCTCTACAAGAATTTAATAAGCCACCATTAAAGGCAAAACAAACTGAACTTTCTGATTGAATTGGAAAACATTGTTGAGTGCCTTAACACACTACATAACTGATCTACAATAAAAGGAATTAATTTAGCGGGGGGACCTTCAAATCCTAAAATGAGTGTGTTTGCAACACACTGTTGTTATATTTGCACACAAACGCATACTTTAAGTCTAACTACAATTTGTTTATCCTGTCTTGCTTTGGAACACAGAGGCCATTCAGCTTGTACAGCAGTGTTCAAAATTAGCCAGGCACTGAACATGATGCGGTTAATCACAAAGCATAGTTTGTCACTTTAGACAAGATGGCAAATTTGTCATATACCAAGAGGAAGGGGATCACAGCAGGTGCTGGGAGGAAGAAACATGTAAGCCCAAGGGTCCTAGGAGGCTCATTCCTGTTAATAGCAAACCTTAGCATTAAATCTGAGCCATCTCAATGACTGTCAGCTGAATATGAACAAGGCCCCCAGAGTAAAGGCTGTATTTGAAGAGTTATTCAGACATCTATCTGTATGGGCTCTTGGCACACTCGTAAGCGTGCACAACACATTATTGATGTTGCAGTCATCAAGTGATGAGCATATATGGCAAATGTCTCCTCAGTATTTCAACATCTAGAGGTACTGGTAGTATCTGCCACCCATCCAGGAATTAATTTATTAATATAAGTAGGCTAGTAAAGCAAAGGCAAATTAGCATTGTCAACCTTTGGGTCTGACAGACTTCATTTGCCTTTAACAGCTGCATGAAAAGCAGAAGTTCAGCATGTGGGGCCGGGAGGGAGGGAGTTACATTGGTTTGGCATGTCATGGGGTTTAAATTCACAGCAGCTCGTCCAGACCAAGTGTTACTAATGGTAGCCAGCCATGCCTGAAAGTTATTTTATGACCTACAAACTACACCAAAGATTTCTACAGCTTATGAAGACTGAGGAAATCCCTGTATATAATTCTTGTAGGCACTGTCACACCACCTTAAAATATCAGAGTAAATGACTCAGGGTGCTTCCGGACTGGAGTTTATTCTGGAGTAGGTGTTGTTCATGAATGCAAGATTTGACAGCATCCACAAGACATCTGTATCATAATACAAGACTTTTTAATCCATTTAATCTGAATTTCACCTTACTATGCAAAGAAAAGAAAGTAAAAACAACCTATTATACAGCTACAGGCACGCCTGGTGCAGACGCTTATTACCATGTTGTTTTTTTGGTAAGCAGTTTGTCATATGTGTTGTGACGTTTTGATGAGTGGTCTCTACTGCCACCCCTACTTCCATTTTTTCTCAACTGCACACAGCCTAGTCACTTTGTTTCTGGCGACCCAAACAATCTCAGCCTATTTACCTATTTCCACCAACTGCCATACACTGAACACCTTCAAATTTCAGCCAACCAGTTCAGAGATGGTAGACATCTTCACACAGCATATGTAGGGTATATCTCAGAGACAAACTGTAGTACATGCACTGAGACTTTAAAAAAACAGAGGTCTTATGCAATACCTTTCTTGCACAAGACCTTCCCACTTTCCTCTGTGGTCTTGCACAAGACTTTTTATTTTTTTAAAAAAAATATGGAAATGAGTCACCCTGTAGAATCAAAAGTCTCCATTTTACACGTCATAAAACATGATAACTAAGGGTTTTTAAGTTTGCTTTTGTGAATTTACAAGTGGGGGGATTAAAGGTGTGTACCCAGGTACAGAAATACTTGTGCACCTATTTAAAACTGGAAAAGGTAGAAGAGCAAAGCAGTACTAATACAGCGGAGGAACAAGAAAACACAGCAGGGAAATATTCTGGCACCAACACCCACTAGTACTGATGGGGGAAAACATAATGCCTATGAAAATATGTGTCAACACTCATACCAATCATGCTCACAGAAAAACCAGATCTGAATGACCCATTTGCAATATTAAGCCACTGCCTGAAAGCTCACTAATACCCCCATAGGCTTTTTACAGACATAAGTCACTTCTAATCAATTGACCTTAAGGATTCATATAAATATTATTTTGCTAGTGACTCGAGTATATTGCCCGAACAATTTACATTTTATTACATGAGTGTAAGACCACATGCAGATTCTTTAAGGCATTGTTATGGATGTATATGTAATAAAGAAGGTCTTAAACCAGTTCTAGAATTCCTAGGGATTCTATATAGTATACCCAACCTGTTCCATTAAGCTACTTATCTATCAGTACACACCTGGATGGAATCACTAAACAAGGTGCACCCTGCCAATATTTTTAAAAATGTGAAATGAAATGACTAGCTAGAATGAAATGACTAGCAATTTGGAAAGTACCCTTGAGGTAATCTAATCCAACCCCCTCTCTGCCCAGTGCAAGGAGTAACTACAGGATTTCTACCTCTGGCAAAGGAGGGCCCATCATCACCTCCTCAGGTGGTCTATTCCACTGTCAAATGGTACTTAGCATTAGGAATGTTCTCCTTAAACCTAGCTGAAAACTGCTTCCCTACACTTTCCACCTACTGGTTCTAGTCCTGCCCTTTGGAGAAACAAAAAACAAGCCTGCTCCATCTTCTTCATTAAACCTGTCAGAAATCTGAAGACCACTCTCATGTCTCCCTTTAATCTTTTGGCAAGCCAAACATAGGCTCACTGTGGTCTAAACAACTGAGCCGCTTGGTCTTGGCGATCGGAAGGTTCGAATCCTCGCAATGGAGTGAGCGCCCGTTGCTCTGTCCCAGCTCCTGCCAACCTAGCAGTTCAAAAGCACGCCAGTGCAAGTAGATAAATAGGTACTGCTGTGGCAAGAAGGTAAACAGAGTTTCCATGCGTTCTGGCTTCTGTCACGGTGTTCCACTGCACCAGAAGCTGTTTAGTCATGCTGGTCACATGACCTGGAAACCTGTCTTGAGGACAAATACAGGCTCCCCCGAACTGAAAGCAAGATGAGCGCTGCAACCCCATAGTCGCCTTTTACTGGACTGAACCGTCCGGGGGTCCTTTACCTTTTCATTCAACTATTCCTCAGAGAACTTTGTTTCAACAACTCTCACCATCTCAGATGCCCTCCTCCTCTGGACATGTTCATTTGTCAGTGCCCTTCTTCAAAGTGTGATGCCTAGAGTACTGCAGACTCCAGGTTCAGCCTGACCACTTGCAACCAGTTGTGCAGGCAAAGTCTTCATACCACCCAGTTCTTCATAGAACCATCAGCGGCCTCAGAGATTTGGGATAGTGCCTGCTACACCTTTCCTAGGGTTGCTTCAGGAATACCTGTGTGCCCTGAGGGAGGGTAGGTGGCCAGGGAGCTTGCGCCACCAACTCCCAGTCGGCCTGAAAGGGCTCTATCAACTCTTCATTTTATATTATAGTATTTTAAATTTGTAGACCACTTCAAGTGTCTTGGCAGAAATGCAGGACATAAAGCCAATAAAAAAAACAATCAGCAAAGAAGCATTCACAGTCCAATCCTTACAACCTGCTCCCAGTTCTCCTTCTTGGGTTCCCTATACACCTTTCATCCCTACTGGTAATTACTAACAGCATTCTTCAAATTAAACCTTACAACTACAACAACCCAATTAGGCTGGTTAGGTTTTGCATGCCAGTGCTGCTGGGCAACACGTGAAGTAACAGCGTAAGTAAATGTAAGTAAATGTGTGGTGCGGGTCGCCTCTCCCTACGCGAAGAGGTGCGTAAATCCCCCGAGAATATAAACCCGCAGACACGTTTACGCCCCCACCCCACATTTCCTCCTCTTAGAAGCCAAACCCGGGACTGCCACCAGAGACAGCCCAGGTGACTCTGACGTGTCCCGCACTCCACGAAAATCTCAGCCACTTCCCTCCCCCCTCCACCCCGCCCTGCTCGCTTAGCCCGCCGTGAGAAACCTAGACCCTCATCTTCCCGGGGCACCGGCGGCAAGAGCGCCCCTCCCCGCGTACTTTGCCTTCTCCTCAAGAAGCAGCGGAACACACGCCGCCCGCGTCACCCAGAAAGGCGGGGTGGAGCGCGTGGTGGAAGCGGGGCGGCGGCATCGAATGGAAGCCCCTCGCGCCGAGAGTGCCGTATCCATGGGAACGGCCAACGGCTCGCCCGGCCTCCCTCGCCTCAAAAGCCCCCCAAGGCCCAACCCGCCCCACAAGGAGAAGGAAGGAGGAAGCCGCCGCCGCCTCCGCTCATACTACAACGGTCCTGCAGGCCTCGGACAGGCGAGGCGACGCACCGCCATGAACAGCCTCGCTTCTCTCCACCCCGCACGCCGCCGCCGGGAGCCCGGCAGCCGCTCACTTACCATGGTCAGTCGGACTCCGGCCCCCCTCCCCAAGCAACAGTAGCAACCCCGGCCCGCGCCCCTGTCATGTGACCCTTAGAGGCCGCCGTTCGGATCCACGCCCCCAGCACGTGACCAGGCCTCCCTCGGGCGGCGACGGAGAAAGCCGGGCTAGGCAAAGGACGCCGGCAGGCAGGGAGGCAATGGTCGCTAGGGGGCGCTACTTCTCGCAACGAGGCTGAAAACACACACGGAAGCAGAAAGTTTGGTCCCGCCCCCTCCTGACGTCTCCCGTTCTGCAAATGAGCTAACCATGCCGCCCAATCCGAGGCATGTTTATTTGGGAGTGAAAGGCCCGCCGAGTTCAATGGCGCTTCTTCCCAACTACTTTTATAAAGGGTTGTAGCCGCGGGCGTCTTCTCCGTTGCCTGCTTTTTCGTCTGGCACCCGTTGTAGACAGTTTAACAACATAAATAAAATATGTATACCATTAAATATATTTTGGTAGGTGGAAACAATATTATGGCACATGTCAAAAACACAGTGCACCTCAATTGTAGCCAAAAGGAAGGCACTGAGAAATATTACTTACTATGCTTGGGGGAACTTGTGTTTCTTGTTCCTGATTAGAAGGATGCAGCAGATGAGGCCTGGCTACAATATCCCCGCAGAACATATAAAGAAAATTTAAAACACATGGGTTCCCCCCAAATAATCCTGGGAAATGGTAGTTTACAGAGCTGCAATTTCCAGCACTCTTAACAAACTACAGTTCCCAAGATTATTTCAGGGAAGCCATGAGTCCCTGCCTCTGCCCTGCCTCCCCTCCATTTTTCCTTTCTCCTCTCTACTGAGGCCCTCCATAGAGAAATGTTTGGGGCGGGGAGAAACTGGGACAAGAGCTATGATGATTCAACTGAGAATGCTAAATAAACCATGGAATATATATTGGCACTTGATGTGTTTGTGTTTGTGTGTAATGCACTTGGAGGGAATAGCTGGCTGGAACCCTAAACAGAAGCAGCAGAATGCCTGCAACATTTGGCTGCAGGCCCCATTTGTGATTTACCACAGATGAAGTCCCCACTTTGAAGCATTTACCATATAGAAATCCTCCTCCTCCTTTTGGGCTCACAATTGTAAAAGCATGAGACAAAAGGAGCTGGAAGGAAAGAGGACACTGCACAATCTGGAAGAGAGTGAAAGAAGGAAAGAGTGGTAAAGGAATTACAAATAACCAAAAAACCTGAGAATAGGTGTGGGGGGAGAAAAAGGGCAGGCCTATGGCCTGGTCGTCCTTTTTTATACCTGCTGGTGGGATTGACAAAGCTGCCTCTGATTAGTTGACAAGGCATTCTTTGATTGACAAGGCATCTGCCCCTCCCCTTCATCTCATAGCTCACCAATTAACCAATTATCCAACTCCTAGCCAAACCAATCAACTAACCAGAAGGATGACTGTCAATCTCTTTTCCTTAGGGTCTCCCTATTTTCAATGGAGAAATGTTGGGGGGTATGGAGTTATCCGACTCCCGAGCCGTCCGAAGGCAATCCTGTACAGTGAAGGGTTGCTTTAAACGTTTAATGTTTTCTTATGTTTTTATATATGTTGGATGCTGCCCAGAGTGGCTGGGGCAACCCAGTCAGATGTGTGGGGTATAAAGAATAAAATTATCATTATGGAATGGGCGTCCCTATTTTCATCAGAGAAACGTTGTGGGGCATGCTGGGTATATTTCAAAAAGGAAAGGGTATGAAAAAATCTGGATTGGGAGAAGGTAAAGTGTGGGAACGCATTGATTTGGAGGAGAAGGGAAGAAGAGCTTGCTATCCACATTACATAACGATACAGAGGAGTTCTGGACGTCTGGGTGACCTTGGGCCAGAAACCCAATCTCATCTACCCCATCCATGTTATTGCTGCTCCTAACCGTGAACTCAAGATGGTGGGTGCACCTCAACTGTAGCCAAAAGGAGGGCACTAAGAAATATTACTTACTATGCTTGGGGGAACTTGTGTTTCTTGTTCCTGATCAGAAGGATGAAGCAGATGAGGCCTGGCTGCAATATCCACACCGAACATATACAGAAAATTATACACATATACACATGGTTCCCCCCAAATAATCCTGGGAAATGGTAGTTTACAGAGCTGCAATTTCCAGCACTCTTAACAAACTACAGTTCCCAAGATTGTTTCAGGGAAGCCATGAGTCCCTGCCTCTGCCCTGCCTCACCTCCATTTTTCCTTTCTCCTCTTTCTCTCTAAACTAAAGCATTTCTCACCTGTTTTCTCCACTGCATGATGGAAGCTCTACCTGGATCTCCCATTAATTTTTTTGCAATATGGAAGCTGCCTTGTGCTGGGTCACACCATTTGCGCATCTAACTCAGTATTTTCTACATTGACTGGCAGTAGCTCTCCAGAGATTCAAAAAGGCAGTTTGGAGATGCCAGAAATCAAACCTGGGACCTTGTGCAGCCAGAGCAGACACTGTGCCACTTTCCCTAGTTATCATGAGTGCAGGAAGCTCCTGCAGCCAATCGGAAGCCGTGCCTTGGTTTTCGAACAGCTTTCGGGAGTAAAACAGACTCCCAGAATGGATTAAATTCGAGAACCAAGTACAGTCTTCCCTTGGATCCCGAACGCCTTGGTACTCAGATGTTTTGGCTCCTGAACGTTGCAAACCTGGAAGTGACTGTTCCGGTTTGCAAATGTTCTTTGAAACCCGAATGTCTGATGCGGCTTCCTGCAGCCAATCAGAAGCCACGATTTGGTTTCTGAACATTTTGGAAGTAAAACGGACTTCCGGAATGGATTCTGTTCGACTTCCAAGGTATGACTGTACAGTGGTACCTCGGGTTAAGTACTTAATTCATTCCGGAGGTCCGTTCTTAACCTGAAACTGTTCTTAACCTGAAGCAACACTTTAGCTAAGGGGGCCTCCTGCTGCTGCTGCCCCTCCGGAGCCCGATTTCTGTTCTTATCCTGAAGCAAAGTTCTTAACCTGAAGCACTATTTCTGGGTTAGCGGTGTGTGTAACCTGAAGCGCATGTAACCCGAGGTACCACTGTACAATGATATGGAAAAGAGTATATACCTCCTGCTGCACGCACAGTGGGCATCCCTATTCTTCAGTAAAAAGCCATCAGTTCTGGGCATCTACTGAATGGGTGGAAGTGGGGATAGAGTGTGTGTACTGGGAGTCATGCAGGCTGAAAGTCTCGCCTCTGGCAGCACTTCTGCAACACAACAAGGTTCCAAAATATACTGCCCTACTTACAGTCAAGTGGCTGGAGGAGGGACCCACATTCACTAAATTGGCACTAGATTGTATGTTCACGCTGCAGTTCCTTAGAACAGTTCTTGGTTAGCACAAGTGTTAGTGCTTCTCTGCCACTACCATTGAAGGGGGAGGCAGACCAGATCAGAGAGGTCTTGGATAGCAAAAATATTCAAACTAAGTCAGTATCACTCTTCACTTCTGCAGCAGCCATATTCATTAGGCCAACCAGAACATCAAAAAACGGTGTGCAAGCTTTTAGGTTCTCCACACACCTATGGAAAACAGAGCAAATGGTAATCAGAGCAATGGGCAGTGGTGGGTGGTAACACTGTCCAGAGAACATTATATCATATAATAATCTAACAATTTAACCTTCCCCTCTCTCGTGTAAAGCATTGCTGAAATATGCATTTTATATGTATATTCTCCAACTTGTGGATTTTCTTGTGTCTTTTACGTTAACATTTTCACAAGTCTTGTAGCTTAGATAACAGCGCCATATTTATGGCAGTATAACCAAGAATATTTAGATTATTACTGAAGAAATAAAAGAGTCTTTCATTGCATCTAGATTTTAATAGAATAATAGTTGAATAAATGCAAGTATCAGGGCAAAGTTAGAAAGCAGTTTAAAGTATACTATAAAAGAAGTTCTGTAGCTGCTTTTAAGATGAATAAAAGATTCAGGATGTGCAGATTTGCAAACACAAGGCCACATTATGATGATATAACTGAAAAAGGACAAGAACACTTGGGTGATTAGAGCAGTATAGTTTCTCAGATTGCAAATAAAAATTCCAGAAGGGATAGAACATAAGTATAATTATTTTGTGGTCTGGCATTAGGGATGGGGTAGAAATCTGGTTTGGTTTGCATTTGAATGTGAACCGACCTAATTTGTATTTCCTGAAACAATACGCAAAGACACAGCTATCCTTCACTTCCTATCCACTTCTCCAAATGTTTCAATGCAGTTCTCCAACTCGAAAATATGTTTAAAATGTGTATATCCAGGGAAGGTGTACCCCAAAATGTATACATTTTATTAGTGAAAATAGCATACAAAATGCATTATATTAGGTGAAATTGCTTGCAAAAATGTGTATATTAGAAAAAGTGTTTACACCACATTAGGGCAAATGCATACAAATTTTGTAACAGTGTTTTTTCCCTTTTTTAATGCAAACTGATGCAGAATTTTGGTGCTCTGAATTTAAGATGGGAAGAATGAGAAACTGACAGATTTCTCCATCACTATCCGGAATGTCAATTTTTTTTTAAAGAATAGCAAACTAATGAAACTTTTGAAAAGTGTTATACAGACCAGGAAACTGTGTAGCATGGTATAATTCAAAGGATGTTCACCAAACCCGAAACAGTGGAAATGTCTGGGTTCTTTCACTGCTTCTTACATGGCCAACTCCATGGCTAAATGTAGAATGTGTCTCCAGATCATTGAGAATCACACAAGGGCTATGGGGCACACTCTTGCTGGCTTTCCTTGGGCTGCTAAAAAGAGCGAGCAATCCCTAAGTCAAGAGCCAAGTAAAAGGAAGTGAGGCATTCGGAAGAAATTTACCTCACATTCCATTACCTAATTCAGTTTCACATTCATACCAGACATTTAGAGCACAAGGCTTCCCAAAGAATCCTGGTAACTGTAGTTTACCCCTCACAGAGCAGCAA